GAGCGGGGGCGGGGCGCCTTCCATGCCGCGCCTGGCTGCCGAAACTCAGGTGAGCCAGGGACTTTTTGCTGGCGGTGGGAGACTGAGAGTGGGTCAAGAACTCAGTATCTTCCCTCTGCTTGCCATGTTGTTGGAAGTTGCTTGTGAATATTTGTTTTAAGAGACGTTTGCTGAACCTGGAGACTGGTAACCAGCCTTTATGCTTGAATGGCAGGTATTCGTGTGTAGACACAGCTCTGTCCCCAGTTTTATTCATCCCGGGTTGCAGCAAAAAGCAATCCAGAGGACTTCCTCAGTTTGGGTAGCTAACTGATGACTACCTACCCAAGAGTGGATGTTCTCATGAACCAGGGACAATAAAGTTTGCCAGCCTCTATTCCTGGAAGGCATAATTTTCCCATTGGCAGTTGTGTGCCATTTGTCTAGACAGACAGTCAAGGCATGTTCCTCCGCCCTGGCCATAAAAAAAGCTGGAAATGTGCTGTGATTCTCTTTGATGAATGTAGCAGGTACAGAAAATACCAGGGACCTTGTGCCTAGAAGGTGCATTGAGACACTAAGCATCGTCCCTGTTTTTTTTTTTCTCTTCTCATAGTATTTAGCATATACTGTATTGTGATTTTGGTCAGTAAAATGTTTTTGAGGAATTCTCTTGTTTAACTTCTTGTAAAGAAATTTCGTCATTAGAGTTGACTTTTACAGCAACTTGTGGACACTATTTAGTGCGTAGTATGTCACGGTTTTCACAGATCATTTTTTGGCCATTTCACATGTTCATTGCTAGCTTATTGTCCCGGATGCTCTCCAGCCACCATCCTGCCTCCTGTGTGTCAGAACATCTTACCACTCCTAGCTGGGTCTCTCTCATTCAAAGGGCCTGATTCATAGAGTCAGGAGCGAGCAGCCCGTGGTTGCGGGCTGTTCCCATTGCTCTCCGTGGGAAGCAGAACATGGAAAAAATTCTGCACCCTAAAACTAAAAGCCTGTGTATTCCATACACAGCAATGCTTCCAACAGATATAATGGTTTTGTTAATGTGCTCAGGCTGGCACAAGCTACGCTTCATCGGCTAGCAAATTTCCCAGCTGACTTCAGAAACTGCAGTCTTTGTATGAGAGCTGGGATCCTCTGCCTTATCAGGAACACTACGCAACATGCTTAGTAAAAGAAACAGACACCAAAGCAAACCCATACTCCCTCCCTTCCCCCTTCCCAGGACAAAGTTGTCCTTTATTCTAGAGCACAAGTAGCATCTTTCCTTCCAAGGCAATGCGGTTGGCAGCGGCAGGGCCGGCAGCACAAGCCTTTCCTTGGGAAGCTCCTCTCCCTTGCAGTCAGATATTTTCAGCAGTGAGTCTCTCTCGCAGAAGCACGGTTCGTGTTCCCCAGGGCACAGCTGCCTCACGTGTAAACTGTCTAATCTTGTTATGAATCAGGCCCGTAATATCTGAGTGGGTCTAACCTCATTTAATAATACAATGTTTTGGTGGTTGTAGCTTCAGCTGAATAACCGATGTACTTTCTGTGTGTGTCTTCCCCCTCCATGCCCTCCACCCTCCCTCTCACGTGCTGCTTCTGCTTCCCCCAAACTTTGAGTTCTTTATAACTCTTTTTTGCAATATTTCTGTTTCTGGACATCTCCCTTTCTGTTTGCCTGTCATTCCTCTGTCTTTTTACGTTCCCACTTTAAAAAAAAAAAAAAATCCTATGCTTTCAATCTCACCTCCTCCCTCCCTCTTTGCTGTCCTCCTCCCCCATCACCTCCTCTCCCTTGACGTCATCGTGTCTGCTGCACATCTGCCGTGATGTCTGACAATGGCTGTACTGTGGGGCTGCTTCAAATAATGTCTCTCATCTTGTCCGAATTGTTTGCAGAGGAGCAAAGCACGGTCACCTGGGAGTTACCTAGCAGTATGTAGTTTGCACTAAGTTGTATCCTATTAAATTTATGTTAAGAAATAATTAACCTTCCTTAACCCTTTACTTTTTTCCCTTCTCATTTGGAGTCCAATGTTGCCCCAACGCAGCTGCTATCTCTTTCCACTTTGCTGCAGTTCCCTCGATCCACAATTGCACGCCGCACGCTGTAATAGAAGGGACTTTTTGTTTGTTTGTTTTGCTTATTTATTTGTTCTTGTATGCCTTGTTACACAGGAATTTAGGAAGTGAAAACAATCGGTTTGGTAATGAAGAAGCAATTAGTAACTCTCTGAAGGGTTATGGTATAGTCTCCCGAGGCTTGTGGGGACTTTGTGCATGCCCCGTTAACGTAACGAGAGCATTGTCAGGATTTATGGAAAGGGTATTCAATGCTTTGCCACTTCCCATTAGTGTCAGTGGGGACTTCAGTCCACAGGATCAGCACAGGATAAGCACAGGATCAGGTCCAAAGTCCAAAGAGAAAAGTTAATTTCTTAGTGATTTGGCAGGCTTTTTTTGGGAAATTTCTGTCATCATCTTTCTGGTAGCTCCTGTGTAGATTTTGGAAATCTGGATAAGTGTTTTTAGTGGGAAGTATTTTCACTTTTCACTTTTTTGTCTATATCTGTCAAATCCTGAACCTGACTGTCCGGTTTGTGGACCACTCTGCCCTCCTCCATCTCCAGGCTCAACAGTAAGCAAGGAGCACGAACATGAAGCCCTTCAGTAGAATTTCTTGCCCATAGAAAGTGCACACAGCAAGAGACACGGGAGGAGACAAATGCAGCACAACATGGTCCTGCTAACTGAACCGGTGCAGACCCCAGGGGTGCCCGATGCCACAGGCTGTGCTGTGCTCCCCCAGCCCAGCAGTGGCTTCCTTCTGCCTCTGACAAACCTTCCAGCTCCAGCACTCCACCTTGTCCTCCAGCGGGAAGCAACAAAATTTGGGTAACTGCCTAGCAAGAGGGAGAGGAGCAAACAAAAATTCAGCTCAGACTGCATCTTTGTATGCAAGATAATCCTGCGGTTCTTTCCACTCAAAATAACAAGCAGAGCTGTGAAACGACTGGCTTTGCACTGTGTAAATATCACGGGGCAGCAGAGATCGGAATTTCAGGGTAAGCAAATAAAATAGCATAGACAGTAAAAATAATACAGGGCTCTTTGGAAAGGTTACAGTGAACAAAGTAAATGTTCAGTGAGAACGGTCGTTGGAGGCACATACGGTTCTTTCCACTCAAAATAACAAGCAGAGCTGTGAAACGACTGGCTTTGCACTGTGTAAATATCACGGGGCAGCAGAGATCGGAATTTCAGGGTAAGCAAATAAAATAGCATAGACAGTAAAAATAATACAGGGCTCTTTGGAAAGGTTACAGTGAACAAAGTAAATGTTCAGTGAGAACGGTCGTTGGAGGCACATATTGGATTGTGAATCCAAACAAGCGTAAGAGATGAGCGACCTGAGGACATCCTGAGCTCCCTCCCTGTCAGGCTGGACCGAGGTCTTTCCTCTGCCGGGCAGCTATGATGCAGTGGTAGACCCAGGGAAGCCTCCAGAGGATGGATGAAGCCCTGTCTCCACCACAGAGCCATCTGCAAAGCAGCTGGAGGCCAGTGGAGTGAAAGAGAAGAAAACATGGGGGTTGTCCTCATTTTCTGAGCTTCATGCCTTTATTGGGCAGTAGGGAAGGAAAAGACTGTGAGAACAGCTGTCCTGCAGTCCACTTGTCATGGTTTCTCCATCTTTGTACAGCAATGTCCATTGCTGTGTTACTGCACACAGAGGTTTGGCTCTCAAGCCACAGATGATTTGAAAACAGCAATAGCAAACCCAAGTAGTCATTTTTTGAGGTATCCTGGTAGAATTGCAGGACACACATGCTATCTTGCTTGTCCCAGCCACAAGGACTGCAAGGAGTAATGGTGGGACAAGAAGAGAGGGTTTAAATGTTTGACAGGAGTTGTCTTCAATTGCAGGGAGATAGAAGTAATTACTCGATGGCTTGGCCTGTACCTTGCCCACTTATTCCTGATTTTTGTCCCTCTCCATGTGATGCGCAGCAACACTTTCATGCTTTCCTCTTTGGAGTTGCTTTGGGATAACTACAGGCCCTGAAGCAGCTTTGGGTGAAACTAGTCTTGGAGAATTATCTTTGTGAGACGCTTGGCTACTGTGCTGCACTATGCCCCTGCTAATCTACTGTTGACTCCTGTGACGCTGTGTTTGGTGTGAAGTGCTGCATATCGCTCTGCGCCCATGGTACCTGTGGATTGGCACTCTGCTAAAAGTAAAGCCCATTTCAGCAAACGGAGATCACATTTGCTCCTCAAATTTAGCACTAATTCTACCATTCCACAAGTCCTTCTGCCCATTCCAGTTATATCCAATTAAACACTTCTCTCCTTCCCCTCCTTGCCCCTATCTCTCGCTGTACAACCCTCCCCATGCTGGGAACCGAGCAGCTGAGCACGGTGCAGTGCCTGCCCTCACCCTGCTCCGTGTCCCTCCATCTGCCTTGCAGCCCATCCCGGACACAAGCCCCATGAAGCGCTCCGTCTCCACACTGACCCCGCAGCGCCCACACGCCATGCACCTCTACGAGTACTCCCTGGAGCGCATGCCACCAGAGCAAGGGCATCACCATCATCACCACCGCTGCCACCGGCGGAAAGAGAAGAAGCAGAAGTCCTTGGACAGGTCCCCCCATCAGATGGCCGATGGAGAAGCTGGTAAGTGCTTTGCAAACACGGATTTGTCCCTCGTCCTCCTCCCTTCGGGACGCACAACGGTCATCTGATGTGATTTGGGGTTCCATCTGCATGGCAGGACCTCCCTGCCCCACACTTGAAAGTTCCACCCGTGTTGGTGATCCTCAATCAATGTTGTTCTTTCAGTGGCCCAGTCTGGTGAGTCTTCTTCCAAGGACAAGAAGCAGGAACGTGGCCGGTCCCAAGAGAGGAAGCAGCACTCTTCCTCCTCCTCCGAAAAGCAGCGCTTCTACTCCTGCGACCGCTATGGCAGCCGGGACCGTTCTCACCCCAAGTCTGCCGATCAGAGCAGGCCCACCTCACCCAACGGAGGGCCAGAGCAAGGTCCACACAGACAGGTGAGGAGATGCAGGGTGGGAAAAGAACCTTAAGGTCTTCCAGGGATGTGCACACCTTTCCCTTGTTTTGTTTAAAATAAAGGAGCCAGAAGAGGAAAGGCTGGGCAGTAGGAAGTAAAGCGTTTGAGGTCCTGCTTGGTCCTTCACATCCAAGACAGGGATGGAAATGTCACTTGATGGCTCTTTAGCAGCCACCTACAGAGACCCCCCCAGCCAAGGACACCCTTGCTCACAGTTTCAGCAGAGCAAACTGGGAGACCTGAGAACTGGCAGCTCTTGATGCTGGTGGAGAAAGTGTATCTGAGCCAAGGCAGGCTGGCAGCGTGGCGTGGGACCTAGGCAACTGAGCTGACCCATTCCCGTGCCAGCTGTGTTAATCTAGCACCTACTGCTGCCCCGTGCCACAAACATTTGGTGATGGCCAAAGAAATCCTTGCCCTTGCAGTACGAGCCAATGTAATACAGTATGGGGCCTCCAGGCAGCCAGAGCTGTGATTTCGGCAGGGTTTGCTCATGTTAGCAGGATTTTCCAACTGCCGTTCCGTGGGCTTCAGGGCTGTCCCGTGTTGTGGACCAGGTTAATTTTCTGGAAAAATTGAGGAAAAAGTCCTTTTTCCCTAGTGTCACATCAATCTTCAAATGTGCTCTCCAGCTGGAAGAAGAAATCATAAGGGAGAAGGGGAATGTAGGAGAAGGTAGGACCTGGGTGGAAGGGAAGAGAGCTCAGTCCCGGGCCAGAACGATCCCTGCAAACATCTCCAAGCCATGTGCAGCCGCTGAGCTGGGAGGAAGGCTCTGACCACTCTCCAAAATCCCTAAATTTGGTGTGTGACCGGCCGGGTGTCTCAGGAGGGATGAGCGATGCTGTCAGCCCTGAGCCCCTGCAGCAACATCAGCTTGTGGGGAGTGGGAGGAAATCCTGCGTTTGGCACGAGTCAGAGCCCAGGGGAAGGATTTAAATGAAGAGGTTCTGTAGTGTCCCTGCAGCTGCAAAACGAAGCAGCTTTCTGTCTCCTTACCCTTTCCTGCACCTTTCCCCCTCCCTGCGTGTCCACATGCCGTGGTCCGTAGCAGCATCCAGGCTGCAGCCTTGGAGGCCGTGTGCTGCAGTGCGTGCTCAGGGGCTGCTGACAGCCTTTGGAGACACCCAGGGTGTGGGACACGCTTTGCACAGTCGTGCTGTTGGGAGGAGAGGTGACATCAGTGTAAAGTCTGATGCACCCAGGACTGTGTGTGGCCATAGCAAGAGGGAGCTGCAGCCTAAAAAGTCCTTTCCATTTCCAGTTGCTGCAGTCCCCGACTGGCCTCTATCTGATTTTTTCAGATGAGTTTTTCTTTCCATTTCTTGATTTCTCCCTCTGGTTTGAGAGACAGGAAGATGGCACTGATTTTTAGCGTGATGCCTCTCCTTTCTGGCACGCTCAGTTTACCAGAACTTTAAATATCATGTATGTCTTAATTAAAAAACTGAAACCTTCTCATAGTTTATGGACATTAGAGCATCAGCTGCCTTTTATAAACCTGTTCCCCTGGTGCCAGTGAAGTCTGTATTGTCCCCCACCTCCCATGGGGGTTGAGTAAGGCAGGGAGGAGAAAGCCTGTTTCAGTGTCCATGTATTTTATCCACCTACATGTTACTGACTTTGTGTGGAGCTGCTAATACATCCCCTGGTTGTTCTGAAAAAAAAACAACAAACAAACCAAAACCAAACAAAAACAGATTAAAAAACCAGTCCAACCGCATATCACTTCTGTCCCAGCGAGCTGAAGACCTCTTGTCCTAATAAGGTGTCTGCAAGAAGCTCTGTCAGTCCATTTCCTGCATTATTTTGGCTCGATAACAAGGTGCTTGTTAACTCTCAAATATTTTCTTTGTTAGTCGGTCCCTCTCTTTGGGAGATGCAGCTTCTCCCAGGAGCCCTGGCCCGGCACGTTTCAGCAAGTCCCTGGAGGCCCCTGCAGATACCAAAAAGAGAGGCTGGCTTGAGCTTCACCCTGCCAACAAGGTGGCTCTGTTCCAGCTAGAGCCAAGCCAAAAATCAGGACAGGTTTGGTTCAAAAAGAAGTTCTTTGGAGTTTTTTTAATGAAAAAAAAAAAAAAAAAAAGGAGACAAGAAAACCAAGCCATGAACATTTCACTTTGGGTCAACTCACAATGCTTGACCCACATAGAAATGTTATGCACCTGCTGTAAATTATTTCACTGTTTCCTTTTCAATGCAGGTGAATTTTTAAATATCAATCCCATTTCATGATGAATCTGGGAAAAGCATTTTTTTTAAATGAGATGAAACTTTCTGGAATTTCAAAATGCTTCAGCATTTTTCAGCAGGAAGGAGCCTATTGGATTTTCTTTTACAATCATAGACCATTTCCTGAATTGGTCCTGGATAAAAGAAGTTTGAAAATCTTGCAAAAACCATTTTTGGGCAGCTTAATACTTATCAAAACAATTTTGCTCCGCTTTCTTTTGTAAGAATTGTGATTTCTTTTCTAAGTATTGTAATTTTGAGGCGCTCAGCCTCAGGACCCTGGAAAAAGCTGGGCATCTTCTCCTGGATGCTGAGACGTGGTAGGTCACTGGGTGGTGGTCACCATCTCCTCCATCACCACGGGGAGGCAGGTGATGGGAGGCAGCTCAGCTGGGGGGCAGGTGCCTGGTACAGAAATATGGGTCTGTAGCAGACAGTAAGGCTGAAACGTGGGGCAGCCAGAGAGGGGAGAGGGCAAAAATGAAAGAAGAGAAAGGCAAAAACTTGGTTTCCAGGCTGTGAAAGACACGGGTCATTGGCCCAGCAGCACGAGCCACAAACGCTGTAGTAGTCCCCATGACTTGCGGAGAGCAGGGCTGCAGTGAGTGACACCCAACGCTGCTCTGCACCCCCAGATAACGCGGGGATTGCCTCTTCTTCTGATAGACGTGGCACGACTCACAGCAACGGTGGCTAAAATAGCTTCTGGGCTGATAGCCTCCAGCACTGCTGGGCTTGCCCTGAGAACTGTGCTGGGAAAGCCAGGCAGAGCAGAACAAGCATTGATTGATAGCCCAACAAGCAACAACCTGATGTTTTTATAGGAAGGAAAAACTGCTCTTTAAAAATTAAAGGTCTGGTCTCAAACTGTTAGGTCACAAAAGGCTGAGGGATTTTTAAAACATACTCGCAGGGCTATTTGTGTACTGCCCTGGGAGAACATAAACAGGACTGGTGACAAGGGCAGGGAGTGACAAGCCAAGGGGAATGGCCTGAAGCTGCCGGAGGGGAGATGGAGATGGGATGGGAGGCAGAAATCCTTCCCTGTGAGGGTGCTGAGGCCCTGGCACAGGGTGCCCAGAGAAGCTGTGGCTGCCCCTGGCTCCCTGGCAGTGGTCAAGGCCAGGTTGGATGGGGCTTTGGGCAACCTGGGCTAGTGGAGGGTGTCCCTGCCCATGGCAGGGGTGGGACTGGGTGGGCTGTGAGGTCCCTGCCCACGCAAACCATTCTATGATTCTATGAAATGTCAAAACAAATGCCCGTTGCTCTCATTCATGACATTTTTTTAAACTTACTGCAGCTTAGTTCACTCCCACGTCGTGATTAGTAACCCAGGAAGCTGCCAGACTCTTCTACCACTCAAAAATCAAATGTATAGTATTAAAGAGAAGGTGAATGCATTTTCGTTTAAGGAATTTGTTAGTTAAAGCCCATTCAAAAAGCTTTTTGTTGTTGTTTTTTCAGACAGTGGCTATTTAATCAAAATGCATTTCATTCCCAAAACTACAAAACAATAGTCCGCCCCCAAATCCTCCTCCCACATAATCCAATTTTGACCACAGAAATGATCCCTTCACCCTTCACCATCGGGTGAAGTTCTGCAAAGATCTGCCCCAAAGCAGTGTGTGCTGTTTTACAAAATTTTATTTGCAAAAAAAAAAAAAAAGCCAACCCCACAAACCCGTAGGTTTTTGAGCCGCTCCCGCCTAGCTCAGGTAAGGCGCATGTCGAGCCTGTGTATGATGTGGATGCCTTCCCTCCGGACAGTGTCCCCTTCTGTTGGAGCCGTCTGCCAGTTTGCGTCCTACCGATGCTCTGATCGTTTCTGTTCTTATTTACTGCTCGCAGAACTTTAGTTCTCCAGCTCTTTACATCTCGTGTTGAATTATTTCTCGAGAACCTCCTCCCCCTAACTGTGCTTGTCTAAACTCTCTCTTTTTTGCTTTTCTTTCCTCTTGTGACTTGTCTCTCCCTTCTGTTGCTTCTCCTTCTGTTTTATACCTGCCTGCCTTTGTGTTTGTCTGGTGTTTCCCTTTTTTATTTTTTGATTTGCTTTGTTCCAATTTTTATGTAGGGCAGTGGTTCAGTTAATGGGAGCCCCTTGCTGTCGACATCTGGTGCTAGTACCCCATGCCGGGGTCGGAGGCAGCTCCCACAGACTCCACTGACCCCACGTCCCAGCATCACTTACAAGACCGCTAACTCCTCGCCCGTGCACTTCACCAGTTTCCAAACCGGCTTGCCCACTTTCTCCCCGGGACGCCTGAGCCGCGGTTTGTCTGAGCACAACGCGCTGCTGCGGGGGGACCAGCA